GCCCCCAAGGCAATCAAGGAGTCCGAAGAGATGGTGCCGGCACACTTGGGTTCCACTGCCACTAGCCAAAACAAGGCCAAGATTAGCGCCAACGTCTCGGGCGTCGCGCTCGTGCTGCTATTCGGCACTATATGCATATCATTCGTGCTCGCTATACCCCCCTCGAACATCCCTGATACGAGTAACCTTCAGCATCCTGCGCTATGACCACCGCTGCCCATGCCCCCCCCCCCCCCCCCTGTGCATAGAGCGAGCCGTCGCTGTGCAAGTGGGGGTTGTGGTAGGCTGCCCATCTGGTCGGGCAGAGCTCGAGGCCGAGCTTGGCCCCTGGCTCAAGGAGACCCGTGGCCTCCATCATGTGCAAGCCGATGGCCTCTAGCTCCCGGGGATCCTGTTCCCTAAGAACCTCATGGAGCGGAGGCAAGGCAGTGAACGAACATGATGCCATGCTGCAGGTATTGCAAGGTCGGTGCTAAGTTGTTGTCGAGGATCGTGCCTCGTGCTGTGGGAATCCAGGGCCTCGCTGACCGATGGAAGGCGAGCAGCGTTCCCAGGATTAAGAAGGAAGTCCAAACTAACACCCCCGGATGTCTGCGTAGGACCTGCACGCATGGCCTCTGGTGGTAAACCCGTCGTCGCCTTGAGGCCTTGCGTGGCCTTGGGCTGCTGGGCTCCACTGGTGGCCTCGCTGATTACCACATCACCCCTGACTGAATTGGCATTCGTGACTGGTGCTTCCGAGCTGGCCCCGGTCGCCTCGCTCGAAATCTGCCCAGGCGTGGCCTGGCGGTCTCGCGCCGCCCGACCTCTTAAAATGGATCTGAGTGCGTCGGTATTAGCACGTGTGCGCACACGTGCAGGCCTGCGCGCGCTCTGTGCCAAGCGTGCATCAAGCGTGTCAACATGCACGCATTCTGCTGTAGCAAATCTGGTACACTTGCCGAAAATTGGAAGCTGCAAAACGCCAGGCCCCGAGTAGAGCCTGGCTCAGAAGGCGCGTCTGAAACCGCTGACGACGGACAGGAAGCATTGCCCAGCTCCTGGTAGCCGTCGTTCGTGACCCTCGACGTGGTTAGGTCGTGCACCCCGACATCGTCCACGTCGACCTCCAGGCGAAACCCTAGAGGTGGTCCAACATCTGGAACTTGCGTGGCGGGGATAGGCCCTCCTCTGCAGGCCTGACCACACCATGCTGCGACGGCATCTCCGCTGAGGCAAATAGATGGCGATGCTGGCCTCCTCCGTGCAAGACGGGGGTCCAGGGATGTGCTCCAACTGGGCCGGTGGGGCCATCTGAGTCGGGTCGATCAACTCCTGCGGGATCGGGGCCACGTACTGCTCTAACGATCCTGGGCCCCACATCTGAATTGGCGACGGCGTACCTGGAATCGCCATCGCTGCCGCCATATGCTGTCTCAGGCGTATCTCGTCGGAGGTCCCGTCGAACGGCGCCGGCGTCGCCGCGTTGCGTGCGGCGCACCTCGCCTCGCCCCCGGCCGTCGAGCAAACTGGCGTGGGCTGCGCCGCCTGAGCCGATGAGGCTGTAGACGGAATCGGTTCCGCCGCTCGCGGCGCTCCGTGGATCTCTGGCGCTGCAATCCCCTCCCTGATGCTCGGCGGCATCGGCGGAAAGGCATTCGCCTTGGCCTGTGCGGGGACGCCCCCCCCCCCCCCCCCCCCTCGGAACCTGCTCCGACCGCGGCCGCAAGGCCTGCGGGAGCCGCCAAGGGGGCTGCGGCACCGCCTCGTGGCCCGCTCCAGCTGGGGGCGCAGGGCCAGCTGGGGGCATGGCTGGGGTGCTGCAGAGGGGGACTGGGCCCCGCCGTCCCGCTGGCCGTTGCCTGTCCACCCATCGCCGAGGGCGGGCCTGCTGGAAACCCCATCGGCTGTTCCGCGGTCGGGGCGTGGCCGCCCTTGCCCGAGCCCTTGAGCATCGCGGTGGTGAACTGCTGACTGCGTCATCTGCTGGTCCATCTGCTGCTGGCGATTCATGAGATACTGAAGGCCGTCCGCGATGGTATCCTGCTGACTGCTGGTGTACGGGAGGTCGGCACGGATTGGCGGCCCCTTGCCACCACTGGGCCCTGCTGCTACGAAGCCTTTGCCACCACCACTGCCATTGGAAAGGGCCCGCTGGCGGTGGCGAACCCTTGCTCGTCACCATGTTCACGTCCGCCTGCTGCGGGGGAGGCGGCTGGGGCGGCTGCCACGGCATGGTGGGCACTGCCCCGAAGCCGAGGGGGGCTCCAGGCGGAGGTGGCATCACCTGGGGCGCTGGCGGGTGCCTCTGTACCCCCTGCTGCTGTCACCCCTCCTCCGCCAGGCTCTGCTCTAAGTCCTGCACGGTGCCCCTGGTCTCGGCGACCTGCCCGTCCAGGTCCAGCTCCAGCATCTCTAACTCCTTCCGCTTGTTGCTTGTGTCCCTCAGGCGCTGTTCCAACTTGAGCTGACGCTGCCTGGCCTCTGCCAGTTGAATGCCTAGCGGCTTCAAGATGGAGGGACAATACCCGATCATCGCGATCCCGTCGGCTTCCTGAAGGGCGGACTTGTCGGCCGACCTCGCCGCCACGGCGAGTTTGGCAAGAGTGAACTGCCAGTCCTTCACGCGTTTCTTGTAGTCTGGGATCTGGCCGTCCGAGACGGGAGGTATCCACTTCGGCCAGTCGAGGTGACACTCTGCAATGGTTTGGGATGCGATCGGGATATTGGCCAAGTACTGCGAGGCTTGTCGATCTTGGGTGGCCTGATCTTTGGCTGAACTGCTCTGAGAACGGCCCCTGCGTCTTTGATTGAGAGACTTGCCACATTTGCACAGCCAATGTCAAGGATTGGCATGCTTTCCGCATGCGCACGCCCATTCTTGTTTCCTGCGTAGGACATAATGAATATTGGGCTGGCGTGATGCGTGTCCAAGGTCTCTCTTGCTTCCCACACACGAAGGACGACTCGCGCAACTGTTCTCTGCGCGCGGCGTCGTCTGTGCCACGGTGCCTCTTTCACTCGGAAGCGTGTCGTGATGACAGCACGAGGGGTGAGAAAATTTCAGAAGCGGCCTTCCGTGGCAGCGCTGGGTTGGCACGGCAAGCGGATGTGTGGAAGCTGCTGATATCCCGCCCGCCCCTCGGCCAAAACGCCTCTCCTCCTCCTCCTCCTCCTCCTCCTCCTCCTCCTCCCTCCTCCTCCTTCCTCCTCCTCCTCTTCCTCCTCCTCCTCCTCCTCATCCTCCTCCCTCCTCCTCCTCCTCCTCCTCCCCCCCCCCCCTCCCCCCCCCCATTATCCGCCCCCTCCCCCTTCCCCTTCCCCCATCCTCCTCCCCGTTCTCCTCCTTCTCCTCCTCCCCCCTTCTCCTCCTTCTCCTCCTCCTCATCCTCCTCCTTCTCGTCCCCCGCATACTCCTTTGTGTCGTCCATATCATCGTCCTTCGCCTCCTCCCCCCCTCCTCCTCCTCATCCTCCTCCTCCTCCTCCTCAGCATCATCATCCTCATCATCATCATCATCATCATCATCATCATCATCAGCAGCAGCAGCAGCAGCATCAGCATCAGCATCAGCATCAGCATCATCATCAACATCAGCATCATCATCATCATCAGCATCATCACCAGCATCAGCATCATCACCATCAGCAGCATCATCGTCGTCATCATCATCAGCAGCAGCATCAGCCGCATCATCATCAGCAGCATCATCATGATCGTCATCAGCATCATTATTACGATCATCAACAGCATCATCATCATCATCCTGATATCATGACCAGCATCATCATCAGCATCATCATCATCAGCAGCAGCATCATCATCGGCATCACCAGCAGCAGCAACAGCATCATCAACAACATCAGCATCAGCGTCATCATCAGTATCGTCATCATCATCATCCTCATTCTCCTCCTCCTTCTCCTCCTTCTCGTCCCCCTCATCATCCTTTCTGTCATCCATATCATCGCCCTTCTCCTCCTCCTCTTCCTCCTCCTCCTCCTCCTCCTCCTCCTCCTTCTCCTCCTCAATTACTCAATTTGAATACTACTCTCCCTCTTCCCCTGATGACGGTTTGAAAGTACGGCCCCCCGCGTACTGTTTTTTACACACAGGATTCCCCGGAGCTGGGTTTTCGCCTGCATTTTTTCAAAATGCTGCTCTCGCTGAGGCGCTGGCCTCATTTTCGGGCCCCGCTCGTTCCGAATCGTGCTCCCGCTGCAGCGCTGGCCTCATTTGCGTGCTTCCGCTCGTTCCGAATCGTGCTCCCGCTGCAGCATTGGCCTCATTTCCTCGCTTCCGCTCGTTCCGATTCGTGCTCCCGTTGCAGCGCTGGCGTCATTTCCCGTGCCGTGCCACGGCATGCAATGCAATGCTACGTTGATGCTACGCTTTGCGGTGCTCTTCTACGCCATGCCATGCCGTGCTCTACAATGCATCGCGTACCCCTTCGGGATCAATGCCCTGCTCGACATCCGACTGTGCAAGTAGAGAGGGGATCTACGCCATGGTAAGGGATGGGAGGGAAGGGTAGGATGTCAGATACGACGCTGCCGCACCTAGCTTGTCCTCCTCCTCCTCCTCCTCCTCCTCCTCCTCCTCCTCCTCCTCCTCCTCCTTTCCTCCCTCCTCCTCCTCCTCCGCCTCCTCCTCCTCCTCCTCCTCCTCCTCCTCTCTTCTCCTCTCCTCCTCCCCTCCCTCCTCCTCTCCACCTCCTCCACCTCCTCCCCTCCCCTCCCCTCCTCTCCTCCTCCTCCTCCTCCTCCCTCCCCAGCCCCCCCTCCCCCTCCCCCTTCCCCTCCTCCCCCTTCTCCTCCTTCTCCTCCTCGTCCTCCTCTTCCTCCTCCTCCACCTCCTCCTCCTTCTCTTCCCCCTCATCCTCCTTTCTGTCCTCCTTCTCCTCCTCCTCCTCCTCCTCATCCTCCTCCTCCTCCTCCTCCTCCTCCTCCTCCTCCTCCGCCTCCGCCTCCTCCTCCTCCTCCTCGATCACCTTCGAGGCTGCCCCCACCCTGATCCTCCTGTTCGGTCGTCATGCCTCGAGGCGCCCCGAGGGTCGCAAGAGGCCCGCGCCTTTCCCCAGCAGCCAGCCTGGCATGCAGATTAAGAGTCCGCAGTGTGGAACGCCCCTTGCGCCACGCACCCGGGGACAGTTCAAGTCCGTTCGGCCCCTCACTCTGATCTGCCCCTGAGCTTTGTGGCACACCAGGAGGATGGGGTCGGCGTGCATGTTTCCTTGGGGGGCCGAAGGAAAAACACGAATCCGCAGACGTCTGCACACGGCCTCGTGTGGGAGCAGAGGATCCGAACAAGGCCGGGGAGCAGCGCTGTTGGCGCCCGAAGGACGCATCGAACCTCGCCAAGCCGTGGCCACGGCCACGAGATGCCAAAAACCGAATGACGGCACCTCAAACAGGTACATCATTCCTCACACCCTCTGCACACATAGGCGAGCAGTATGCCGTTTGCCTACTTCTGTAATATACATTTCCTTCCATGCTCGCTCGCCGCCAGAACTGTCACTCCGCTCCCGTCGCTCAAGCGCAGCATTGTGTAGTTGTCTAGCAACGAATGGTTGCCATCCTCGAAGCCGCATTGCCACCACCAAGTTGTACAATTCCAGCCCTTCTCCCGGACTTTCGAGTGACGACCAGCATCCAAGCATGTCGCATCATCGGCTTGAATCGCCTCCACTTTGAAAACCGCTGAATTCTCTGGAATAGGATGCGGCAAAATATGAACGTCGCTTGGGTGGGGGACGGGTTGTAGCCTGTGCGGGGAAAGAACGAAACCAGACTCCACGATTCGAGCAAGGTCATGGATCGAGCTTTCCTTGACATGCAAAATCTGATCTGGCTCTGCTAGAAATATAGAGCGCCACCGTCCTGGATCTTGCCCCAGCCACTGGACATCCTTATTCTGGATAGCTTGTTGAAGACCAGAGATGGCCCCAAGGGGCAAATTGTTGTCTATGAATCTCGACTTCGTGGTCGCCGCGTCGACCGTGACAAATACTACATCTGTGTCTCCAAACGACACGCCTTGAGGCTCGTGTTCGCGCGTAGGCACAACAGAGACCACAACAACGCGACCCATTCCAGCCCGCTGCAATGATTTCAGAGTCGCTGTCAATACCCGTCTCGTCAACTCCTCCCCACTGCATCCGAAGTAACAACACGACCGGACAAGGGCGCGAAACACTGGACCTTCGAAGAGAATCCTGTCACATTGCCCCGGCGTCTCACAATGCGACGGGGATTCTTAACGAAAGGCGTGCTTTTCCTTGTCCACCAGGTGAATGAGTGAAAAATAACCTGTCCCTGCAAGATCCATATGTGTCACGACCTCTACTCATCATTCTCCGCCGCGACGAGATCGGAAGGCGGCGTGGTTTGATATATGGCATCGCCCTGGCAATTCACCCGCCAGATGCAGAGTGGCCCTAGCAAATACTCAGACCAGGGTGGCGCAAGCCTCCCGTTTGCTTTGTATGTCTGGCATACGCAGCGGTCTAGACGCCGTCCCCGCGTCCGCTTACAGGCGGACCTAGACCAGAAGAACATCCTTCAAGAACATGAGACCCTCCGTCGGCCAAAACAAACAGAAGATCCAAGGGAACCCTCCCCAGGATGCACAATAGCATCAACAAACACGAAGAACACTAGGGCACAGTCTCCGAGCCGACCAGAACCTGATACCTCGGTCCGACCGTATGCTGGCTAGCTCTTGAGAGTGATCGGCTCCGCTACTGTGGTGGATGGGAAGATGTGGTTTCGTGTTCGCAATTGTTGCAACCTTGGTGATCCTTGCTCTTCTCGCAGGGTCACGTTGCCGCGAAGTACACAGACTGATCACATTCGCACTGGTTCTTGCATGCGTGCTCCTAGTATTCGTTGGAGCACGGGCATAACAAGAACAGGCGCAAAACACAATCAGACGCGTGACCACAAGCACTTGAAAAACAATAAGCAGTGGCGTACTATCTCGCGTCATAACCATCAGCGTGCACACCAGCACAAGGAAAGCACGATCATATGAGCTGGACTCAAGTCGGTGTAAACATGATCATGTCGCATGGTTGCAAGAAGATACGGCAACATGATAATTAGAATGAGCATGAACATCCACGAAAGCATACGCAATGCCATTGGCGTGCGCACATTCGTGACCACAAAATGAAGAGCTATAAGACCATCAAACTGCGCACACCTGCAAATATGTTAATCGGCCGATGGGTGAGCATATCTATATATATATATATATATATATATATATATATCACTGCCTGCATCAGAAAGAACCAGCGTAAGCGTAAGCAACTACCCAACAGACCAAGCGAAAACAACCAAACACACACACACACACATAACGAACCAGTAACAGCTAGCATGAACACAAGCAATATCGTCACACACACATGATCATTAACACAAGGCATCACCATCACCACCAGACCTTTCATCACTACCCCGACATGAAGTCATGGTCCAGAAGGTTGACACGGTACTTCCCTCGCAACGACAAGCCCTATTGCATGCATTGCAAAAAGGCGTCCACGGTCGACCCCATCTAGCCCTACACAATGCGGAAGGATCCTCGTTCCTGCGGTTCCTGATTCTCCTCATGCTGTCCCTTCAGAACATGACCCTGGCGAAGGACCCAACCATATGCTGTTGCGAGTGCCGCGTTGCGGGTATCGCCTTCGGGGAGTCTCCTAATGGGGTCATGAAGCAAGCACAGGGTGTACCGATGTGGGGCGCGGCCGCCATGTAGGCGCTGCCACTGGGGCTTGGGTGGAACCCACTATGGTGCCCCAAAACGTGCGAGGGGTGCGCCGCAATGGGGCGGGGCCGCCGCTGGGGCTTCCGGTGGAGCTCCCTATCGGGCCACGAAACGCTGTGCTGAGCTGGGGCGAACCATGCGAACGCCGCCACTCAGACCTTCGGTGGAGCTCCGTATGGGGCCACGAAGCACTGTACTTGGTGGGGGGAACCGCATGCGGACACCGCCACTGAGGCCTTCGGTGGAGCTCCCTACGGGGCCACGAAACGCTCAACCCGCTGGGGGAACCGCATCCGGACACCGTCTCTGAGGCCTTTGGTGGAGCTTCCTGTGGGGCCACGAAACGCTGTACTGGATGGGGGAGCCGCATGCGGGCACCGCCACTGGGGCCTTCGGTGGAGCTCCCATGGGGCCGCGAAACGTTGTACTGGGGGGAACCGCATGCGGACACCGTCACTGAGGCCTTCGGTGGAGCTCCCTATGGGGCCACGAAGCGCTATACGGAGTGGGGGGAAACGCATGCGGACACGCCACTGAGACCTTCGGTGGAGCTCCCTGCGGGGCCACGAAACGCTGCACTGTGTGGGGAAACGCGCGCGGACATCGCCACTGAGGCCTTCGGTGAAGCTCTGTATGGGGCCACGAACCGCTGTACGGGGTTGAGGAAGCGCACGCGGACACCGCCACTGGGGCCTTCGGTGGAACTCCCTGTGAGGCCACGAAACGCTGTACTGAATGGGGGAAACGCATGCGGACACGCCACTGAGGCCTTCGGTGAAGCTCCCTACGGGACCACGAAACGTTGTGCTGGGTGGAGAAACCGTAGCTCCCTATGAAGCCACGAAACGCTGTACTGGGCGGGGGAACCACATGTGGACACCGCCACTGAGGTCGATGGGCCACGAAACTCTGTCTTGGTTGGGTGAACCGCATGCGGACACCGCCACTGGGGCCTTCGGTGGAGCTCCGTATGGGGCCACGAACCGCTGTACTGGGCGGGGGAACCGTATGCGGACACCGCCACTGGGGCTTTCGGTGGAGCTCCGTATAGGGCCACGGAACGTGCAAGGAGGGGGAGGAGGATGAGGAGGAGGAGGAGGAAGAGAAGGAGGAGAAGGAGGAGGAGAAGCAGGAGGAGGAAGGAGGAGGGAGGAGCAAGGAGGAAGGAGGAGAGGTGAGGAGAGGGGGAGACGCGGGGCGCTGCCTCTTCAAAACGAGGACCCAACACCACAGGACGGTTGGAAACAATAGCAAGCTCATTATCCTGGCGAATGACCAAACAAAATGTAAGTGTGAGCACCGCGGTGTGGGTACCGCATTCGGTGGAGCTTCCTATGTGACCACGAAGCGTGTAAGGAGTGTGACGGATTGGGCGCGGTGGCGCCACACGAACGCAGCCACTGGGGCCTTCGGTAGAGCTCCCTGTGGGGCCACGAAGCGTGCAAGGGGTGCGCCGAAATGGACGCGATGGTGCCGTACGAACGCAGCCACTGGGGCCTTGGAGCTCCCTGTGGGGTCACGAGCCGCTGGGGCCTTCGGATGGGCTCGCTATGGGGCCACGACACGTTCAAGGGGTGTGCTGAAATGGGTGCGGTGGTACCATGCGAACGCAACCACTGGAGCCTTCGGTGAAGCTCTCTGTAGTGCCACGAAACGTGTGAGGGGTGTACCGAAACTTGGAGAGAGAGAGAGAGAGAAAGAGAGAGAGAGAGAGAAAGAACAACAAAAAAAAGAGGAGGAGGAAGAGGAGGAGGAGAAGGAGGAGGAGGAGGGAGAGGAGGAGGAGGAGGAACAGGAGGAGGAGGAGGAGGAGAAAGAGGAGGGGAGAAGGAGCAGGGGTCAGCGGGAGGAGGTGAGACGCGGGGTGCTTTCTTTTCAGAGCGAGGACCCAACACCACAGGGCGGTTCGGAACTAGGACAACATAACACTACATGCACCAGACGTGCTAAGGTGCCAAGGGCAACTGTGCATTATTTGTCCGTCCGGCCGTGGTCCTGCGAAGCGTCGTGCATCACAGCGGTACGGCATGAAAGCAAGAATAGCGATCGTATCACCGAGTGGCGACGAGTCCAGCACTTTTACATGAGATATGTAACTGTCCAGCTTGGTGGAAAAATCGTTGAACGTTCGTCGGTCTTTGCACACGCCTGCTGCCCTCCAGTAGTGGCTTAAATGTTCGACTGAAAAGTCCAGCCAATCTTTCGTGTTCGCCACCGGAATCCCCGATTGATAGGCTTGCCTGAACGGTGCCAAACAACCATCCTCTACAGTTTCAACATATGAAGTGTCTATCTGCATGAACATCGAAGCATTCATAAGCCATGATGCTGAGAAAATGTCAAGCATATCAACCCCATCCAAACCTAGTCGCAGCAACTCTGTAGAAGTTGGATTGGTAACGCTTGACGACCTTCCAGAACGCGGAACATCCATTTGCATATACGTTTCTCGCAAAGAGAATGCCCGCCGGTGCGCTTGCAGCGATGGGCGTGTGGTAGGCTCCACGTGACTCTTCAAAAGAATGTTGCTCACCAGCTCCTGCGAAGCAAGGATGAGCCCCCCCAACGAAACCAAGAGACTTTCGTGTTAGGACGAAGTCTCAGCGTTATGAATCCTCTCAATCGGCAATCGTTCAAAGCAGTGCCAAGACCTTTTTACGACAGCCCTCCCCTCACGCGTCGTCCCGAAGCGCCACAAGACGCTGCAAGACAGCCTCAGGACCGCACAAGCGCCCCGCCCACCTAAGATGGCCCGGTGGCCCCGAGTGAGTCCCCAATACACTCCCAGAACCTCTCAGGCTACTCTGGATTTCTTTAAGGAGCGTGGGGGGGGTACCCCCCCGACAGGTATCAACCTCGCCTCGTCCTCACGCCCCGACGGGGGATCGGAGCGTCCTCCACGCACGGTGGCTGTCCGCGACGGGGGGGGTCGAGGGCCGTCGGCGGGGGTGACGCCCCCCCGACGCATATCAAGGAACTCGGAGTTTCCATTGGGAGCCCTCCAGGCAGACCCTGGGAAAGCAAGAGCAGTGAACCGCGTGACGCATCACTGCTTGAACACCTTCGCCGTCACATCTCGGAGGGCCCAAGATGACCTCCAGCAGGCACGGCCGCCCCAGGCCACCTCAAGGTGGTCCAGGAAGTCCGCACGGAGGTGCGCAGGACGGTCCAGAGACTGCCAAGGCGCCTCCAAAGACAGCCCCAAGACGCCCAAGACCGCCCAAGAAAGAGACGGGCCCGAGACTGTACCCCCGTGGACACCCCCAGGACACTCCTCGGCGACCCCGAAGACGGTCCCAAGACCGCAAGGTTCCACAGACGATCCCGAGTTGCACAAGAGAGGCTGCCGAGAGCTTCAAAACAAACATGCCACCCTAACATCGCCTCACAAGGCGGCCAACAAATACCTTGTAACGCTTAGAACTCCGAAGTGAGTGAGGAATATGCAAAGAAGGTGGAAGTCATAATACATTCAACAATTCGACGTATCTCGATTGTGACTCAGTTACGTGCTCCTTCATGCGGTCGAGACTATTTAGTATTGCCCACGGCGGCAACGCAGCCTCTTCTTGCAGAGCGGACATACTTTCAAGCACAGCGCCAATTCCACTACCCCATCCGCTTTTTTTCCGCATACAGCAATGCCCAGCTTTACCGAAAACACCCAAAGAGGCAGCACGAAAACTATGCACCGCCACAGCCATGACACATACAGCATTGCAATGCTGCGTCCCGAAGCGCGGCGGGGCGTATGCGCGTCAGCACAATCGGATACTACTCGCATCGGCCTTCCAGCCCATACCCAGCATCTCTGAAGAGGTTGCAGCTGTAGCGGTTGGCGAGCTTACAGAGCGAGAGACAGGTGTACGATGACTCGTGTCGTGCAAGGAACTGCCCAGAAAAGCCGTGCTCATGAAGACGAGCGGCACAGCACTCGTGAGCGATGGCAGGAAGCTCGGGACTCTGACCCACCACGGGGTTGGAGGTGTAAAGGGCCCCGGCGCGTGACTCTCCATCACA